AGTTGGCGAATATTTTTACTTTTTTCGGTAATGAAACATTTATAATAGAATACATTAAAATCATAACCTTAAACACTGTGTATAAATTTAAAGTCAATCGGATATTAACTTTGGCCTCTAGAGCGTCCACAAGATTTTTTTAAGCGATCAAGAGCCATAACTCTGGCAGTAATTATCGGAAGTCGCTGAAAATCAATAGACTTCTTCGTCTCATGACCTTAAACACTGTGCATAAATTTAAAGTCAATCGGATATTAACTTTAGCCTCTAGAGCGTCCACAAGATTTTTTGAAGTTATCAAGGGGCTTTGAAGTGATCAAGAGCCATAACTCTGACAGTAATTATCGGAAATCGCTCAAAATCAATAGGCTTCTTCGTCTCATGACCTTAAACACTGTGAATAAATTTAAAGTCAATCGGTTATTAACTTTGGCCTCTAGAGTGTCCACAAGATTTTTTGAAATTAACAAGGGCCTTATACGACCACATTTCAATGTGGGTGTATAAAAATCTGACACTATAAAATGGAAGCTTCAAATTTATGGCCTTGCATTGCTATTAATTTGTAAATGAACATCAAATTTCCTAATATGAGAAACAGATTGTTTCAATATCATATAAATATAACAATGCTTGAGAAATTAATTTCTTTTTATATATATCTAAATATTTTCCATAAAATTTGAAATTAAAAACACGAATTAAAATTCAATATTTCTCCATTTCAATCAATACTGATGTTGTTATCTTGGTGTGAAAATATGGGATCCTATTTTTTAAAATCAGCACAAGAGTTGTGTATTTCTATGGTATCGCAGAGCCTCGTCTAAGGATTTGGTCGTACGCGGCAATGTAGGGCGAACCCGACCCGTGCGCACCATAGGTGTGAGCTTGCGTGGGGTGTCTGGGGGACCTTCCCCCTTTATAATTTTGAAAATTGACTCCCTTAGACTCGATTTCCGAGCACTTAAAAAATAGTTTCAGAGATTTGATACACTATTAGTTTTGGCATCTTGTTAAACCATGGATTGATTAATACCCTATAAAATCGAGATCAAAACACTGCTGCGGCTGACCCGCAGACAGAAATATACTCATAAAACAATCAGAAAGACGATTTTGTAAACCTACGCACCATGATATAGTATTGGCACATGGGAAAAACCTTGTCAGCGATTTTCAAAACGTATGTAGGGCTTATGTTGCCGCCCAGTCTTCAACTTTTGGGCTCAGTAGGCTGCACAGTTTGGCCAGTGCGCGGCGGTGGCACAGCCTAGTCACCATGTTAAACGAGGCTCTGCGGTATCGGATGCCATTTGTAATGAACAAAGAAAAACATATCCTACAAGACAATGCAGAAGTAATTAGTAATGGCCGAGTCACAAACAACAAAATAATAATTAAAAAACGTGAAAAATGGACTAAGCCGGTGTAACGACTGCCGTTCAATCTCTACTGTTCAAGTGTTTCACTGAAGGCCTTGGGAGGTACCCAATCACCTGAGTGTTCTTTACTTCATTTTGTTACCCTTTCCTTTTTGGGAAATATTTCGGCTGGTAAAATTGATGCCATAGAGAATAATAATATACTTGCTAATTGGTGCCAATAGGATCTGACTAGCTAGTGATAAGGTTAGGGGCAGTGGTACATCCATTTTTTTTTTTGTCCACACTAACTTTGTATATAATAATCATATATAATCATATATACTTCTCTCTCAAATAAACAAGCTATACACAAGGGAATTCATTTTATATGGAATAGTCTTTAACATTAAAGGCTTTGTTTTCGACCATAAGTAGAATTTAAGCTGTAATATCTTTTGTCTTTTGTAAATGTCAAAACCTATGCCAGTGACTATGATTACTTTTAGCAGGGATGGGAAGATTAACTCCCAACTAAATCTTTTATATATCAATCTTCTGGTAATATTCCACTAGGAGTAGGACTTAATTTCATCTTCTTGAAATCTTTCTTGGCATACAGTCTGTAATTACAGATATGACTTCTATTTTGACCCCAGCATTCATTCTCCATAACATGAAAAGTTTATTTTTAAACCATGCTACTAGCATTCTTTAGTTTTGACTTGTGGAGTTTATTCCAATCTGAAGTTCAGCATGTCCAGCTTGCCTGGCAAATAATCTACTCACTTATCAAAACACAGCTCTCTTCAAGCTTCCAGTTATATTGCTGGAGGCAGATAAGTTTATATACTGACATATTTATTTCTACTCCCTTGAGTATACATTACAACTTCACTATGGTATTGAAGATATAAACTTTGGCACCATGAGTAATGTTTTTCATCTTTTGGATGTTCATGTAATTCATGAATCTGGTATTTACAAGTCAAGCTTTAACTAATAATAGTAACATTCCTTAACCTCATAATGCATAGAAAACTATGTACCTTACTTTCAATGCTGGTATCAGATTTCCATTCTTTTATAAAATACTCTATTTCACCTATAACCTTATATTATTTACATTAAAAATTTGTGAAAATGAAATATCTTGGATTTTTCAACAATTCTAGTTTTCATCTCATAAACTCATAAACTGAACATAGATTTTTTTTTTTTTTTTCAAAATCAATATATTGGATGTTGATAATTTTCTATATCAGAAAAAAATCAATTAAGCTAAGTTTCTTCAACGACAACTATTCTTTGGAATTTAAGATGTAGATGAATTTGACGTAAACAGTATTGATAGAATAAAAAAAAAAAACCTGATGAAAATATATTTCAGGAGTGAAAAACACAAGGCTATTTACATATTCTCAATTTACACACACAAGGCATTGATTTATGCATTAAGATCAATTATGTGGCAAGTCTTTCTTGTAGGTTCAAGTCTATTGGAGAGAGAAATCCTTTGTTCTATGTAGCTTGTAATAGTGGGTTATAGATAAGAGTTTATCCAGCTGTGAACTGGCCTCAATCTTTTCACAATTCAACAAGGGGTATAAAATATCACCTCTGTGTAATTGCATGTATTTCCTTCATCTTGACTAGCTTTTATGGCTACATGATGTTATTTTTTATATGAGTCACAATATATCATAGTATACATACTTAAAGGGTTTAAAATGTGAACTATGAGGGTTATATATTAAATCAAAGATTATCATTACCTACCTATTTTACATATTCAAGGCTAGTCTATTCTTTATAAGATGCATAGTAACACTCTGTACTAATTAAATTAAATAACCATATTTCAACAAATCCATAATGAAACTAATAATATTAACTGATTGTTCAAAAAATGTAATTGGTATCAAATATTTTTTTTTTTTTTTTTCAAATTACCATATTTCAATGAATCCATAAATGAATTAATAATTCTAGACGATTGTTTAAAAAATAGAATTTGCATCAAACATTTGTTTGGGTTTTTTAAGTTTAAATCTAGACTAGACGTTTACAAATTCTGTTGACAGCAAAAAGAAATTTATTGCCAAAACATTTGCGTGAAAAATATTTTCTGCTACAATGATAATGTAGACGAATTCGTGGACTTAAAATAAAGTTATTCAAAACAGCATATAATGTATGATTTACATATTCATGAGAACTAAATACACACACTCTCATAAAGTCATATAATACATGAACCCATTTTAAATAATGTCATTCAAGTTATTCTTTTCTTTTTTAAGAAAGCAATTTTCTTTTTTAAAAAAAAGAAAGATTATGTGTAAAAAGATGCTTTATGAAACAATTTATATATACAATATTATAATCATGTCTAAATGGTAATAGCCATGTTATTTCTTTTCATAATGGATGTTATTGAAATTAATTTATAATTTTTAAAACATCGGAAAATAACTGATATGGGGAAGCTTGGTTAATCTAAATGTACCTATATATATGTACCGATATAAACATCAGAGAAAATCACAATATACTATGATATAATTAATTACATATGTTTGATAAGATAATAAATAAACCTATACTATTTGGAGCAATATTTGGATCCAAAAGAACAAAAGAATACCATTACATAATGAATGTGTTGTGTCAAATCTCAGCTGTCAGTTTTAGTAGTTCATTTAAATTATGTGTTAATTGGTTAATTGGTCCTAGGTTTAACAATCCCACTTCAATAAATATGTGCAAGGTTATCAACACACACACAAAAGGAAGAAGCCACGACCTACTTAAATATAAAATACATTTTTATTTCAAAAGAGGTTGATAATCTATGTTTAGCAAATAGCACATAATGGCAATTCATGTTCAATGCTATATCTTTTTTAATAAGGTTAGATATTGATTTTCTGAGAATGCAAATTTTATTTTGGACTATATATAATATGTTGTTTTTGTAATCTCAGAATTTTGTTTATTAAATTATTTTCGATGTAAATAAAATTTTTAATTAAAAAATCATTTTTACTTATATTCATTACAATTTAAATATACAAATAATATTATTTCCAAAACCCTTTGAATAAAAATCATTTGTCTTAAAACTAAAAAAAAGTGTAGGTCAATTTTTATTGCTAAAATCACAGCTAGAACAGTTCAAAATTATGTATACAGTATTTAAGTGTAGTAACTCTCTGCGAAAAAAAAATCTCTTTATTTGCTAGCATCCTAACATCTGTCTTTGTGTTTGTTTAATGTGAAACATCACAGCTTGACCTACATAAAAAAATAGCAGACACAGGTTACAACCAATAACATACTTGGCAAATTGCATACTGTCTTCCTTAAAACCTTTTATTTTAACTCAAATCATAAAAGGCCAATATCAATGGTAGAAAATAATTTTCTGCCTGCTAACTAGGTAGTTAATAACAAATGCTTTGATATTATTCCCTTAATTGCATAGCAACGGCCTTATTATGCAGCTGCTTCAAGCAGTCCTGATAATTGAATACTGCCATAAAAACATCAAATGAAGCTTGCAGGAGATTGGCTGAAAAGAGTCATGTGACTGTGTTTACCAGGTTAATGCATGCCAAACTAGTCATATTCACTCAAATCCTAGATGCATTTAAGAGGAGGCAAGCTAGCTTTTGTTGTATTGAGCTAGTTAGTGAGTAGTTCACACTATAGGATTAACCCATATGTAACCTTTGAGTAAATTAACTTGAGTGTTAGACATTTGTGACTTCATTTCCTCTAGATGTGGATTTACTGTGTGAATCACATGTTGCATAAAGGATTTTACCTAGAGAAGAAAGCATACAGCTTATAGCATCTGGTCTGTGTTACATAGCTGACCATAATGGCTACAAGATAGTGGCAAGGATCGGTGTCTGACTGAGTCAATACTAAGGCAGGCCAGTAAACATGTAATAGCTATATTGAGAACTAAATGTTGAACTACAAGTCAAGGCTATTATTGTGTAGTTATTTTCAAGTGTTTTAATGTGGGTTATTGACTGCCAGTGCTGTGTGTGCTTGCTGCTTTTTTTTTTACATTCTGTGGAGAGGCTGACTGAGATTTGTTGATATTGATATCAATGAATTAACTGGAGCAGAAGGCAATTATCTAATGGATTTTTTTGTACAGTCAAGCCATTGGTTTATTCAACTGCTTATATTATGTAGCAATGGTGGAGACATTTTGTTAAATTTGTGTTAAATGGAGACTTAAAAATGATTTTGTGCATGCCTCATCAGTGAATTATATTTTGTTGCCATTTATTTGCATTTATGTGAAACATTTTAATTCAGGGTTTATTAGCTTATCAGGTATTGTGGTTTATGATAGCCTCTTTACAAAAAAATATTTGTTGTAATTTACATAGTTTATTGTTTACAACATATCTACCTCAAAATGTCTCGACGCAAGGATTTAACATTAGGAGAAAAACTCAAAGTTATTCAAGCCATTGATGAGAAGAAGTCGCAGAATTTGATTGCACAAGAATTTGAAGTATCTCAATCCACCATTTCTCGAATTGCTAAAAATCGAGAGCACATTATCAATCTATTCAACAAAATTGGAAATGGTCACAGAAAACGGAAACGAGAGGGGAAATCCATGGATGTTGAAATAGAACTGTTAAAATGGTACCACTCATTTTCAGATGCCCCAATCACAAGTAGTATGTTACTCGAAAAATCAAAGGAGATCGCTTTAAACATGGGTTTTTTCGAATTTCGTCCCACCACCGGATGGCTTCAAAGATGGAAGGAGCGGAATAATCTGATACCTCGGAAAGAATTGTCGGAATCTATTCTTGAGACGTCCGTTGTGGATGAATCGTATGCGGGGGCTTGTTTAATCGAAGAGAGTTTATTAAAAGTGCTAGAAATTTATCAACCAGAAGACATATTTAATTGTAAAGAGACTGGATTGTATTATAATGTTATGCCTGAATGCTTACAGAGAAAAAGTGAACAAGATAGTGCCAGTCAGTCAGATGATGCTACAAATGATCGAATGACACTTTTACTATGCTGTAATATGGCTGGGTCTGAGAAACTGAAGCCATTGATTATCTGTAACAATACAACAGTGAAATTAGAGGATAATGAAGCTCCTGTTATTTACAAGACAAACAATTATGGTCTTATGACAACTGATTTGTTTACATCCTGGCTCGAAGATCTGGATAAAAGCATGGAGAAAGACAAAAGACAAATTTGTATGATTCTGAATGATTGCGAAGAACATACCTCTCGTCGCCAGTTAAATAATGTCCGTTTGGTTTATGTACCACAAGGAACTACCTCATTCACCCACCCACTCAATCATGGTATTATACAGAATCTCAAAGCCCTATATCGTCAACAGACCATATCAAAGATCCACATAGAAAAATCGGACGATGCCGATACCCCATCATCAAATGTCAAACTGAGTGTTCTCGATGCTATTTACATGCTCAGTGAATCGTGGGATCAGGTCAAACAAACCACGGTACAGAACTGTTTTGTTAAATCTATGATGGGTGCTGCGTCCGTTAGTGATCCGTCGGAAGCCACCGACTCGGATGTTGTTAGTCCACCACAAAATATGACACTGGAAGAGTTCAATAAATTTGTAAACATCGATGACAATATTATGTGCTTTGCCCACCTCCCATCTCCTCCCAAACCACACAGGGACTCACCCTCATTAGGTGATATGCTAGCCAACATAGAAAGAAAAGTGAAAGCCGCCACAGCAGCAGAAAGCACACTTAACAGTAGTCCCCCAACACACAGGTCAACACCATCTCAAAGCCAAATTTCAGAAAATGCATCACCCATGAATCTAGCCAAAGAGAAATCCATCGGGACACTGTCAAATAGTGCCAACTCTAGCCGAAATCAAAGCCCAGTCATGTTTGAAGGGGAAAATGTACGTAAGAAGAGCAAGTTAGATATTGCTCACCGATTAATGAATGGAGAAGACAAGTCATCTAGTCCTAAATTACCAAGTACATCATCGAGTCATTCAAAATCACTGACATCATCATCATCCACTTCATCGAAATCAACACCTCATATGATGCCCAACATGGCTGCCAATCCTTTTGCCCAGCTTCAAATGATCAACATGATGCAACAACAACTAAATCCTATGTTAGCATCAAACAATCTGTCGGCAGGTTTAAATCCATTTATTCAGGGAGCCACCCAAAATCCTTCCCCGCAGGATGCGCTTGTAGCGTTAGGAACTCTCAGACAGTATCTTGAATCTCGAGGGGATGAGGCCAGTCTTGGAGCATTTTATGTCTTTGATTCACTCGTTCGCTACAGCATTATGCGCAACTTACAACAAAGAATGTGAAATGTGAAACGTGCCTATATATTATGATGATAACCAATGAAAATGCCCAGTGTAAATAGGTTTCATTAACATCATAGTAAGAAATGTTATCAAGTTAAATTTTGTGTCAAATTGTTGAATGTTATACTAATTGTGTAGTTCGTGCACTACGTGTAGGTGACCACCCACAAATTTACAAGAACTATTTATATAGTCCATTTGTCCTCACACAGTAAACAATATTTTTGTATAAAAAGTTACTTACATATCAGGGTTCTAGTTAATTGTGCCTAATGTTGTAAATTCACAGATCGATTATTATATAGTTTATATTCAAAGTTACAGAAGCACTTTTTCATATGTTGTTGCCTACTTAAAGAAATTGTTTACATGTAAATTACAAGTTTGTCATTATATATTGTTATTTAACTATACATTTGCTTTTTGTACATATTGTGTACTCTTGCAATACTCAGGTGCACTCCGGCAACATTCAGGTCATATAAAAAAAAAAAAATCAAATATTTTCGTAAATAATTATTAACCATTATTATTATTATTGTAAAAAATTGGCGTTAACTACTTACAAACATTTAGAAGCATCAGGCCTCCTTTTTTTTTTCTTTTTTTTTTGCTATATTTAAATTTACATTTAGTTCATTGATGTCCATTTATTGCTAATGTGATGGTGATGACATTGTTATTGTCTATTTGAAATATGAATTAATCATTCAAATGAAAATACCTCGGTGATTTTTTTTTCTTTTCACTTTATATGAAATGTTTAATTTAATTATTTTCCTTCATTTATACCTCAAAGATTAGGTCTACCTCATTATGAACCAAAATGAACCAATTTTCAGTTTATACTTTTTTGAATTTTCATGATTTATTGTATTCCAAAGTATGTGTATTGGTATGTTAAGTATACATGTATGTATCTATTCAGTATATGTGTCTAGAAATGCACAATGGTTGTTTGATGGTTTAGCACATTATGCTAGAAGCCATTGTGAGTTATCTCCCTTAAAATGTGCCAGTCCCATTTCATATCCTTTGTATTACTATTATACTTTTTGAAATATCAAAGTATTATATTTAAATATTTTATTTCTGTTTATGCTTTTGTTCTCAAAACTCATTATCTTTGCTAATTAATTATATATTTCTAATGAAGTATCATGCATGTATTACTTACTAGTAAACATATTATATTTACATTAAATGTTGCAATATCTTGAAAGAATCTTGTCTGTTTTCTTTTTTATACTGTTTTATATTGTCATCACCCATGTCCGTTGGTCCTTTCACATTTTTTGTTAACTAATTTCTAGAGAAATGTTGCTAAAGAAATTTTTAAAAATTTGCATAAACCCCATCTGAAATGAAAGAATAGTTATCTACCGAGTTACTGCCTTTGCATTGAAAACCTTGTGAACATGTTATATAAAGAATGTCTTTTTTGGTATATATGGAAATAAGACAATAAATCTTAACTAGAAAAATGATGGATTCCCTGAAAAACACCCATGGATCACACACAGGGCAAAAATGTAAGGGCATTCCATTATGTCTGTCATTAAAGGGCGGAAAAGGGAGTTGGCAAAGGATAATCCAAATATTTACTTAGGCTTTGAAATGTACGATAAATGGAAATGAAACGTGATTTAGGGTCCTACTTTTCTGCATTTACTGGGCTAATGAATACAGACGTACACAACACAGGGAAATTTTCCCAAACGGCGGTAATACAACCTACTCTTATTTTGAATTCCAACTGTCCAATGTTCTTTTACATGCACGCCAATGTGTACACAGGATCTTGGTTTTTCATCCCATGAGAATGACTAGACACTGTCCTTGCCAGGTCCTTCATCTTGCACAACTAAAAAATCTTGAGAAGCAAACCAGAGTCTTGGTTAACTAGCCAGCATCTTACTCACTACCCACGTCTGCTCCCCTGGTAAATGGAGAGCGAGTAACAACAAACACAATCTAAAAATCTATCAAGTCACGTGATAAACATGGCTGTTTAAAGATACATTGCCGGGTACAAACTGGGTGATTTGATGATACATTTGGACTAAAAACATGTTCAAACTAATTAATTTATCATAATTTTGCTTCAATTCCTTCTCAAAACATCACAATTGTCAGGGAATACCCGGCTATAAAAACTCAATCAAAAGAGGTCATGTTTGTGTTACGTGACACAACGGGTGCATGTCAGAAGAGAATTCATTGCATACAAAAGACGATGTTGCCTTTATCGCTGACTATTTATTACAAATATCGAAGCCTAATTAAATTCTCGGATTATCCACTGCCAGCGTCTTTTCCCGTGATTTTAATCTCAGAAAGTGTTGTACGTTTATCAACATGTACATCAAGCGCTCAATCTCTGCATGCAACCTTCGACGTCACGCGTGCAGACACTCCTAATCGTCGGGCTGTCGATTAGGGAAACCCGTACATTTTTGTCCTGTATCCGCTCCATGAGTGTTTTTCAGGGAATCCAGTATTTTTCTAGTAAGATTGGATATTTCTACTTTCCATATATACCAAAATTGCCATACTTTTATTGGAAATAACCACCCGATAAATACTTTTCTTCTGGGAACGTAGCTTTAAAATAGATTATTATGACTGAGTCACATAAGGAATACATGTAGCTTTCAGTCTCAACCAGAAACTTTAATTGGGTTTCCCATTGAAGTCATTAATCAAGGGAAATGTCCAATAATGGAAAATATAAAATATCTTTTGAAGTGCTTGAACATCTTAGTGGGCTACATCAAATGCCTACATTACCAGTATGCACCCCCTCCCTCCCCCCCCCCCCCCCCCCAAACTACTTAGGAAAGGAATTTATTTTCGAAGATAAAAAGCAGAGTAGTAGCTAACGAGTAATTAAGAAATATCTTTACAGTATACTGGTGACGAATGTCAATCAGTACAACTATATTAAAAGGTGGAGCTGTGGTGGCTCAGTAAGATGTTGGCTCGCTAACCCGGAGGTCCTGTGTTCTGTCCCTGTATTGGCTGAGAAAGGTTATCAGGATTTTGGATGGGACGAAAAATCCCATGTAGATATTGCCGTAAAAGAATCCTTGGCAGTTGGAATTCGATATAAGAGTAGGCAGTAGCGCCAATGTCCGGGCAAAAAAAACTTTCCTTCATAGCACACTATATGACGTATGCCCGTCTTCATTAGTTCAGTTGGAGGAGAACAGTAGGATGTTAAATCCCATTTCGTTTCGTTTTATATTAAAAAGGCATGTCTATGAAAATTATCAAAAGATGGTGTGTTAACCCAGCCAAGACTGTGACTACAGTATACGGTGTTAAAATGTGAATAGTATTAAAACTGGTAGGTTTAACATCTGTTATTGATATGTTAAAGTAATAAATGGTAAGTGTTATAAGTAAAAATATATACAGTAGTTTTGTATCCATTAAGGTCAAATCCAACCATTTTAAACTAACTGTATATTGTACAAAATGGCAAATAAAACATATACTAGATTAGATAGGTTCTCCACCAAAAAAACAGTTTAAATGTCCAATAAGAAAATAGATAACAATGATGTCAGTAAATACATGTACATTAAGTGGTCTTTTGCAAGATGGCTAATGTTAATGAGAGGGAGAGAGAGAGAAATGGGGTTTAACGTCCACTCGACACAAACTAGGTCATTTCGTGACTAACATATGGTTTAATTTTATTTCAATAAATCGCTTGCGCGTAGGGGTCTTTAGCAATGGGAGGAAACCGGAGGACCCGGAGAAAAACCATGAGGTTGAACAGGCGACCCTACTCCTTGTCACGTACAACCGGGGATTCGAAACCACACCAGTCGACTCAATGACAGACTTTATGATACAGCGTGCACACGCTAACCATTCAGCCATCCACCACCCGCTAATGTTAATGATTCCAGCAATTGATTAAATTTATTATGTCAATCAGTGATTTTCAGTTGTTTAAGTACAAAAGAAGAAAACAAGAATCAGAAAAAAGCTTTGGTCGCAAAGGACAATATCTAAGCTTACTGGTTTGATAAATGGAATGCTGAATATTTTGTACATGAAATATAACTATTATAACAACAATCCACTGGGCTGGGTTCTTTTCTCACACTCAAGACTTTGTTTCAAACTACATCTGGAATGGTCACTGGATTCTCTGAACATCAAACATTATAGATTAACACAACTTAGGTTATTCCTTCTATATTTATCACTACATATTGGTGAATGATATATTTTTCGTCTTATTCTGTTGTAATATCGGTTTCATGCTTACGGGAGCCCAGGTAAATAATAATTGTAAACTAGACTAGAGGGTCTACAACCTCGATATTATATGTATGTATACTTTAAACACTATATTTGTGTACATAGAACAGCGATTTTCTCGGACACTTTTGGTCAGACTTTCACGAATTTGAACTCAATCATCATTATGGTGAAAAGGTGATATATTTAAACAGTTTCTTAAATCAGACAAAACTTGTGACCTCTAGGACAAGCTAAAATCACGATTTTTTGTACAATCAGGGGCCATAATATCGGAAGGAACCGAGATCTTTTGGTTATAAACATACATTTCAAGTTTCATCTAAAATCGGATAAAAATTTTGACATCTAGAGTGTCCACAAGCTGAAAGATAGGTTGCCAGGCAACGAAACATACGCCCACAGCAGCTAATTCGTCCGGGCACTCATTAAGTAATTATCAATTTGAAGTCAATCGGATGATAACTTTAGCCTCTAGAAGGCTTCTTTGTTTCATGACCTTAAACACTGTGTATAAATTTAAAGTTAATCGGATATTAACTTGGACCTCTCTAGAGCGATCACAAGATTTTTTTGAAGTGATCAAGGGTCATAACTCTGGCAGTAATTATCGGAAATTGCGGAAAATCAATAGGATTCCTCATCTCATGACCTTAAACACTGTGTATAAATTTAAAGTCAATCGGATATTAACTTTGACTTCTAAAGCGTCCACAAGATTTTTTGAAGTGATCAAGAGCCATAACTCTGGCAGTAATTATCGGAAATCGTTGAAAATAGATAGGCTTCTTTGTCTCATGACCTTAAACACTGTGTATAAATTTAAAGTCAATCGGATATTACATTTAGCCTCTAGAGCGTCCACAAGGAATTGTGGACGACGGACGGATCGACGGACGGACAGGGGCGACGACAATATACGACCACATTTCAATGTAGGCGTATAAAAATGAGATTTTTCGTACAATCAGGGGCCATAATCCATAAAGTTATGGTCCTATACATGTACATGCCAATATCGAAAGGAACCAAGATCTTTTGAAGATAAACCTATATTTCAAGTTTCGTCAAAATGGGATAAGAATTGTGACTTGTAGAGTGTCCACAAACAAATTGTGGCCGGCCAGCCGGACGAACAGGGGCGACAACAATATACGTCCACATGAAAATGTGGGCGTATAAAAAAGGGGACATGTGAAACCAAGTGAAATTCAGCATGAAATTATACTAATAATACTTCCTTAATTTTAAAGATGCATTAAAAGTAAGACTTACATAAAGGCTAGAGTTGGCTGGTCTTTCTATAAAAGTTAAAAATAGACAATGAAAAATTAATATGAAAAGTCCATTCAAATTACTTTATTTTGGGCTAAGTTATGACTGTTTGAAGATGCATCGTAGATCTTTTATCGTAGCAACAGTACTTGACAACTGAGACAACGCTTTGATTGTCCATTTTATCGTTAAAGTTTTAAATCTTGCTGGTGTTCAAATCCATTTAAATCTCTGCCATCTGTTTATAGGCTTGTCATATGAATAAATGTCTAAATAATAATTTATATACCATCTGAAGCCAAAAGAAAGACCTTACATAATGCATCTTTAATTTAGTGTTTTATGGTTTCATTTCATACACTAGACAGATTGTTTATCTGAAGATAATAGTAAGGTCCCTGCCCAATTCACTTCAAATTTTATTCGGGGGATAGATAACATTGAATAGAACTGTATACATTTACACTAATCAGATTACAACAGGGTAGATTTGCTATATTCTTTATAATTTATACCAGATTACTAAAATCCAATTCCAAAATCTGGATAACTTTACACATTGTCGTAAATTTGGATATGGTAAATGGTAATAATGTATGACTATATGACTCATACTGTAGAGTAATTGTTATTATTGTACAGGTAGCATAAACAATACACTGTAAT